CTGACTCCTTGCCTTCCATTCTGAACTCTGCAACCCCTTCCCCCATTCTGAACACTGTTCGTGGTGTCTTATCTGTCTTTAACCAGACCTAAAGGGCTTGTCTGGAGCTGAGAAGGGGGTTAGGGAAACAGTGTGGGGGAAGTGACAGACGCTCAGCTCCCTCAACCAACTTGTCCCAACGGTGTTTCCAGCCGGGACTGCATCAGGGCCAGGTACCGGGTGCCCACCATTCAAGCAGTGCGCTCCCTCCCGCAGTGGTGGCGCTCCGACGAGACACAGGATTTGGGCCCGGGTCCCCCTGATCTCACGGGGTCATCCCTTCACGTGAGTCTGAAATCGCAGGCCCTTCCTGGAGAGGACGAGGACGATGAAAGAGACGTGACCGGTGCCTGGAGTCCGGATCTTTTCCTTACCAACTTCCCAGGTCTCGAGCCGCCAGGCACTCCCCAGACCTGTGCTCTGGGGCCCAGCGGGGGCCCGGTGGCACAGTACGCGCCGCCCGAGGCTCTGGGCGCCTATGCAGGTGGCCCAGGGTTGGTGGCCGGGCCTTTGGGCTCCGAGGAGCACGCGGGCTGGGCGCACTCCGTCCCGCGAGCCCCAGCCCCTGAGCCCTTCGTGGCCCCTGCCCTGGCCCCGGGATCTGCGCCCAAGGCGCAGCCAGCATTCTCCGATTCGCGAGCGGGCTCGGCAAGCGGTTTCTTCCCGCGGGCCGGGCTCGCGGTGCCCGCGGCCCCTAGCGCCCCCTATGGGCTGCTGCCGGGATACCCCGCGCTCTACCCCGCGCCACAGTACCAAGGGCATTTTCAGCTCTTTCGCGGGCTCACGGCGCCTTCTGCTGGCCCCGCCGCGCCCCCTTCCTTCCTGAATTGTCTGGGACCCGGTGCGGTGGGCACAGAACTCGGGGCCACCGCGCTCGCAGGAGACACAGGCTTGTCCCCGGGAGCCGCGCCGCCCAAGCGCAGCCGGAGAGCTTTGGCACGAAAGAGGCAAGCGGCACACACCTGCGGGCACGAGGGCTGCGGAAAGAGCTACACCAAGAGCTCGCATCTGAAGGCGCATCTGCGCACGCACACAGGTAAGGGCGGAGCGAAGCGGGTGGGGCACACAGGAGCCGGAAGCGGGGCGAAGGGAGGGGCAAGAGGGTGGTCAGAGGCGTGGCTAAAGGCGGCCCCAGAGCTGGAGGCCTGAAATGGGCCCCTGACACTGGAGAAACTATAGGGGCAATTCTAGACACAAATGGGGCCCGGAGAATCCCAGGACTCAGGAGGCAGGTGGGTATAAATGACTTGTAGACTAACCTAATCTATTTTAGCGAATTCCAGCGGCCAGAACTACATAGTAATATCCTATCTCAAAAATAATAAATAGTAAAATGGGTGTGGACAGAAAACCTGGGGAGCATTTCGGGGGGGGGGCTTCGAAGTTAAAGGCTGATGTGTAAGACCTGGGTTAGAGATGGTCAGAGGAGCAGGAAGCAGGATGAGAATAGCAGAAGGGGAAGAACTAGAGGGGCGACCCCCTGGAGGGTACAAGCTTGGAATGCAAGAAGTCAGGATGGAGCCAGTATTCACGTGCTTATTCCGGTTGGAAGTGTCTGGAATCTGGAGGTAGAATTAGTTTCACTGGCAACTGATAGAGGACACAAGCCGGGGCTTCCCAAATGCGGCTTGGCCCGCACCAGGTACATAACCGGGAGAGGGTCATCAGGGCTTTGGACACTGGGGTGAACTTCAGGGCTCGGACCAAGTTCAAGAGCAAGACTGGACATGAGGCTCTGCTAGTGCATGGGGGGACACTGAGACCAGAGAATGACGGCGCAGCCAAAGGTCTCAGGCAGGGAACTAGCGCATAGGAAGTGGCATAGGAGATCGGAAATGAGGAAACCTCAGGACTGCAGGCAGGTACAGAGAAGGGTCAGGATCACAGAGGGCAGGACTGTGTGCCCTTCTTAAACTATGAGCTAGATAAGTAACCTTAGGCCCGGCTCCAGCTCATCAAGTGTGCAAATCGGAACTGGACCGTTTGGACGGTGGTACTCACAACTTTCTGTCCTTCAGGAGAAAAGCCTTATGCCTGCTCCTGGGATGGCTGCGACTGGAGGTTCGCTCGCTCTGACGAACTGACACGTCACTACCGGAAGCACACTGGCCAGCGACCCTTCTGCTGCAGACTCTGCCCACGAGCTTTTGCACGTTCTGACCACTTAGCCTTGCACATGAAGCGTCACCTCTGAACTCCGATCCTGCACAGGGACTGGGAATGAAGTTGAGAGTGGATCAGAGAATCATCTTCCAAAGGATGGGCCACTATTGGACTTACAGCTCTTACAGCTCTACAGACCTACCCAGACCAATACAAAGGAACCTTCAATAGCATCTTCTCATGTCCTCAGGGAGCCAGACGGAAACATCTGATGGCCCCACAGACCCAGCAAGACAGACCACCAAATAAATCAACTCAGATGGATCCTTAGACCAGTGCAGGAGTGACCCTGAGTTTTGGAGATGGAGTGGGGTGAGATTTCTCAGAGTCTAGAAGGATCCTTCACACTGTCTATCAGCTGGGATTGTCACGGGTACTATAAAATTCTCCCATATGAAACCATTGTCGGCCTCACTGTAATATCGGGCTGGAAACTAGGAGGAGTATTGAGCCCCCAGTAGGTGATACAACTTGTCTATACATGCACCTTCTAGATCTCATAAAATACAGTCACTTCTGATGACCCACCCCCAGCAGTTCAATCTATGTAGATCTTCTCCTCCATCAAGATTAGCCTATACGATCCTGTCACCTGCTGTCAACTCACAGGACATTCACAACTGTCATCTGCCTCCTCTGTCTCCCTTTTTTCGTCTCAAGATAGGATCTTACTATGTAGGCCTGGTTGGCCTGAAACTCTGTAGACCAGGTTGGCATCAAACCCACAAAGATCATCCTGTCACCTTGCCTCTGACTCCTGAGTGTGGGTGATTGTATCCAACCTGTCTGCTTCCTTTTAAGAAGCCTTTTAAGAAGACAGTGGGTCATAGAGGTAGTGCAGACCTGTGATTGCAGGTATTTAGGAGGCTGAGGCAGGAATATGGCAAGTTCAAGACATGCCCATAGTACAGAACAAACTCAAGGTTATCCTGGGTGGGCAGTTCAACCAGTTTCTTCACCTCTTTGTGTCTCTTTGTCTGTCTGTCTCTTTCTGAGCAAGGATTTTTCTATATAGCCCTGGCTGTCCTGGAACTTGCACTGTAGACCAGGCTGGCCTTGAACTCTGAGATCCACCTGCTTCTGCCTTCTCAGTGTTTGGTTTTTGCTTGTTTGGGTTTTTTTTTTTTTTTCCTTCTTGTCTCAAAAAAGTAAAAACAAAAACAAAAGGCTTGTCATGGTGGTATGTGCCCTTAATCCCAGTACTTGAGAGGTAGAGCTGGGTGAATCTCTGAGTTTGAGACCAGCCTGAGCTACATAACATAGGGACTCTGTCTTTGGTGGTGGGGGCCCATCTCTCCACCCCCCAATGGGCGTGGTCAGTGCTACAGAAGGACTACCTCACTACAGGGGGGGATATGGTGGTGGAGGCCTTTAGTCACAGGATTCGGGAGGCAGGCAGATTTCTTCAGCTGGAGGACAGCCTGGTCTACACCATGAGTTCCAGGCCAGCTAGGGCTATAGTGCTACAGGCCTTTAATCCCAAAATTTGGGAGGTGGAAGCAAGAGGATCAAGTGTCAAGACTCGAGTGACACAGCCAGTCTGTGGTGGAGTGCTTGGCAGTCCCTGTGTCCCTGCCTTGCCACACCCAAAGTGACTTGGTCAGTGGCAAGAGGGCAGGGGGACTAGAAAACTTAGAGTGGTCAGAGAGAGGGTGCAGAAAGAATGAGCTGGGTGTGGGGCCATTCACACTGGGAGTCGCTGCACTTGCAATACTAAGACAGGAGAATGGGAAGGTCGAGGTTAGCCTGGACCGCAGAGTGAAAGCACGGGCCGTGGTGGTAGCATGGCAGCTGGAGAGATGGCACAGTGGTTACAAACACCACTGTTCTTCCAGAGGCCCTGACTTCAGGTCCCATAACCCAAACAGTGCTTACAGCTACCTGTAACTCCAGCTCCAGGGATCTAACACCTATGGGCATTGGCCCAGTGCACATGGAATACATAAACTCACAAGAACACACACACAGCAATGCACATAAAATTTAAAAGCTGGAAGGACAGAACATATTTATAATTCCAGCACTCAGTCAGGAGGCTGAGCCAGAGTTGAGAGTTCCAGGCCAGCCTGAGCTACAATGAGAGCCTGCCACACACACACAAAAAAAGGCCAGCCTATAAAGGTGCCTGCTGTCAAGCTTGACAAGCTTGATCCCCAAATCCTATATGGGGGAAGGGGAAACTCCCACAAATTGCTCTGGCCTCTGCTTGCATGCTGTGTTATATGCCCACACACTTACACATATACACAGTGTGATCGAGCACTTCTGTGATTTGAGCACTTGGGTAATAGAGGCAGGAAGATCAGGAGTTCAAGGTTAAACCAGTGTTATGAGGTCAGAGGAGTCAGGAAACTTTCAGGAAAAAAAAGGGGGGGACAGGGGTGATTGGTGTGAGTCTTTAAAACAAACTTTCCAGGAGAAGAGGCAGAAGGAAGGCTGAGATCCTTGTGAGTTCCAGGCCAGCCAGGGCTACATAGTGAGATCCTGCCTCAAACAAAATATAAATTAAAAAAAAAGAGAGAGAAAGGAAAAGAATTGGGTCTGCCCTGACACCCAAATGATGCACAGACACACATGCAGGCAAAAATACCGGTCCCTCAAAATGTGCCTGAGTTGCAGAGTGGTAATGGGAAAAGAACAATTCAGAAATTGGAGCGCCTTAGAAGAATCATGTGACAGCCACTGCCTAAGGGAGGGGCGTGTCCAAGGTTGGAGCCTATCCAGAGCTGAGTCGCCAGAAGCAGGAGGGCGGGGTGGGCCCTGAAGGGGGCGGGGTCCTGGGCGGGACCGCACCAAAGGAAGCCCCGCCTCCGGGGCGCTCGGGCGTCGCTTTCACCCTCGCGAAGCACCCACCCAGGTCTCAGCGGACTTTAGGGGGAAGTGAGTCCGGATCTCGTGACCCGGCCGTCCTGGGTCTTTTCACAGATTCCGTCGCTGCCGCCTCATGGCAGCGCTGAGGTCGCTGCTGCTGGCCGCGCTGCTGTGGGTCCCTGCCGAGGCCCTGAGCTGCTATGGAGACTCCGGGCAGCCGGTGGACTGGTGAGCTAGTGGCTGACGGACTGTCCCCCTCGGGCTGCGTGGGGACCGGCGTGGGCACTGGGATGGACCTTTTCAGCCAAACTTCAGACCCCCTTTCTCTCCCCACCTCCTGTCTTCCCTGACCTCCAGGTTCGTGGTATACAAGCTGCCAGCTCACAGTGGGTCTGGGGATAGTTCGTGGAAGGGTTTGAAGTATAAATACATGGACCAGAGCTCCGAGGGTTGGCGCGACGGTGTGGGGTACATCAACAGCTCAGACGGAGCCGTGGGCCGCAGCCTGCTGCCGTTGTACCGTGAAAACTCCAGCCAGGTGACTGAGTGCAGTGGGAACCCGGGCTGGGTCACTGTAGTGGGTCCCACGGGGAAGGATGGATAGTTATGAGTTTCTCTGCTTTCTCCCAGCTGGCCTTTCTACTCTACAACGACCAGCCTCCTAAATCCAGCTCAGCTCAGGACTCTTCCAGCCGTGGGCATACAAAGGGTGAGGCTTGGACTGGGGGTCGTGGAGCCACCCTGAATTTCTTGTAAATGTACCCAAACTAACCTTTGACCTGCATAAAGGGTGGGGGATCTGCCCTGTCAAACCCTTGCCTCAGTTTCCTACCTGTACCTAAGACTCTAGTCACCCGAGACCGTGTACCTGGTTGCAGAAGAGCTGACTTGAGGGGTCTGCTTCCAGCAGCTTCTCTGACCTCCTTCTGGTTCAGGTGTTCTGCTTCTGGACCAAGAAGGGGGCTTGTGGCTGATCCACAGTGTGCCGCGCTTCCCACCGCCTTCGTCCTCTGGTGCATACAGCTGGCCGCCCAATGCTCACACGTATGGGCAGACCCTACTCTGCGTGTCCTTTCCCTTTGCCCAGTTTCTCAAGATTGGTGAGTAGAATCATGGAGGGGTGACAGTCCCAAACTTCAAGTAACTGGCCTCACTTTTTTCCCCTCACCTTGTCTTCCAGGCAGGCAGCTAACCTATACCTATCCCCTGGTCTATGACCATAAGCTGGAGGGCAATTTTGCCCAGAAATTATCTGATCTACAAGAGGTGATCAAGGGTCACCATGCCCTCCATGAGCCCTGGAATAATAGTGTAGTACTAACTTCACAAGCTGGGGCCACCTTCCAGAGCTTTGCCAAATTTGGAAAATTCGGAGATGGTGAGTCCTGGTGTAGAGGGGTAAAGAGCACTTTCTTTGTGTGTGGGGGTCCCTGATATCTCCAAGCCTGAGGGCAAGCACATTTAGAGCCCAGATGCCTTTGTTATTACAGTAACAGCCATGAGTAGGAAAACAACAGACCAGCTGGGCAGATGGTACTTATCTGTAATCCCAGCACCATGGAGGCTGAGATAGGAGTTCAAGACCAGCCAACAGATCTAGGCTCAGATATTGGTTTCTGGATGTGCAATATGATATGGCCTGAGTCTGTTTGCTCAGCTCATCTAAAAGTTAGAATATTGATGCTTTCCTTAGAGGTTATGAAATAACATGAACTGTTTGGTAAGGCAAAAGGTGAGGCCTACTTTTTTTTTTTTTTTTTTTTTTTTTTTTGAGACAGAGTTGCAACTGTGTATCCCTGGCTGGTGTGGAACTCACAGAGATCCACCTGCCTCTACCTCCCGAGTGCTGAATGTAAAGGCTTGGGCCACCATGCCCAGCCTATCTTCTTGTTTTGAAGTAATGTCTCACTGCATCTGAGGTCCTCTTGTTCCAGCTTTCTGGGTGTTAGGATTGCAGATGTGATCCTGGCCTGTTGACAAGGGCTATTTAGGTTTGTGGCCTTCTGGAAATAGACAGAGCTCCTAGAAGGAAGCTGGCCCGAGGAATCTAACAGTGGCCCTCACCTTGCCCTTCTTCCTTCTTCTGCAGACCTGTACTCTGGCTGGTTGGCAGCAGCCCTTGACACCAACCTACAGGTTCAATTCTGGCCAAATTCTCCAGGCATCCTGCGTTCCAACTGCTCTGGGACCCATCAGATTCTTGATGTGAATCAGATAGGCTTCCCTGGCCCATCTGGACCAACTTTCAATGCCACAGAAGACCACTCCAAATGGTGTGTGTCCCCTCAAGGGCCCTGGGCCTGCGTGGGTGACATGAATCGGAACAAAGGAGAAATGCACCGAGGTGGAGGCACGCTGTGCACCCAGCTGCCTTCCCTTTGGAAGGCCTTCCAGTCCCTGGTGAAGGCCTGGGAGCCCTGTAGAGAGCCCAGCAGAGCAAAGAACTAAGACGGGCTAGCTGAGCATGGTGGCGCACACCTTTACTCCCAGCACTCAGGGGTCAGAGGCAGATGGATCTCTGAGTTCCAGGCCAGCCTGGTCTACAGAGTGGGTTCCAGGAAGGCCAGGGCTACACCAACCCCCCAAAAAGGGTCTAGTTTGGACTTGAATTTGTTTTGGGGGTTGGTGTGCTGGGCTGAATCCCAGGGCTTACTACATACTACACAAGCTTAGTACATACTACACAAGCACCATGCTGCTCTGGCTGTGAATCCAAGTACCAGTTCAGCCCCTTCCTGACTGGAGACCTTCGCAGTGCCTTAACCTCCCTGGCTGTCAAGTGACCTGCAGCTTGGGCATCACAACAGAGGCTGTTAATAAAAGTGTCTCTGTACATGAGGCTGTTACCGTTTTCTTCAGACACAGCACTGGTGAGGTACCTCTTCCTAAGAGGTCTGCCCCAAGCTGTTATGTGAGGAACTGGCAGTGGATGGGACACAGGAAAGCTCGACTGAAAACTACCTTCCCACTTCTACTGAGCACGGGAGCCACCCCTTGTCCTGAGAGGAAATGTGAACCCCGGGGAGTCTCAGGCAGCATGGGCACTTTATTTATATGTGTACATATGTATACAGGCATCTGTACAGCACAGGACCAAAAGCCGGCTCCGCTATGGGCCGAGAGGGGCGTGGCTGGGTGGCCCGTTTTTGGTTAGGCCCGCGGAAGTCACAGCTTCAGCAGGGCACCGGGAGTTCAACCCTGCTTCAGGTTTGGTGCCTGGGACCGCAAGGGAAGCAGGTGGGCCTGCAGGAACTGCACTGCGGGACACATTCTTTGTTGGGACTAGGGTTGGAGTCTGGGGGTCGGGAGAGAGCTTGGGAGAAGCTGGCTTGGAGTGAGGTCCGCTTAGTGTGGTCCGCTCTTCCACCTCCTCGAGCACCCAGCGCTCCCGGCCCCTTGGTGCATCAGGCACTAGAGGCACCTGGGCTACAGGTTCCTTCAATCCCTTGGAGTCTATGCCCAGAGGTTGAGGTGTCTGGGTCTTGACCCCTGACCGGGCAGGCTCTACAACAATGGGCACCAGGGGTGTGCCTGCCTCACCAGAGCTACAGCGCCGGCCTGTCTCATGTTCCTGCACCGGGCTTAGCGCCGCCTTGGCCAAGGCCCTGGCCACTCCACCTGGGCCATCCTCAGTCTGCACGCTCTGGTGCCTCGTGCAACCTGGGTCACGCTCCAGGGTCCGGCTCCCGGGGGTTGTCGCACGAGGCGGGGTGCAAGCCTCTGCACCTCCCGGGGACTCCTCCTTGCTTGATGTCATCGGTCTCTGGGCACCCTCGGGTAGCAACGGGTCCGCACCCAAGCTCAGGGGCGATTCCTGGCGGCCCAGGCGTCGCACTGCGACCTGCCGGGTCGTCCCGGGACCCTCGATGGGAGGTGTCTCACCGTCGGATTCAGCGAGGCTATGTAGTGCCAGCTCACCGTGGAAGTCCTTGCGGAAATCCGGGTGGCCCACTTCGAGACTGTGTTTGCGCAGTGCGCCCTTCTTGTCTGAGCCCAGCGAAGCCCCCAGCTTCTCCGCTGACTGCACGCGCTTGAGCAGTGGCGAGCGCGGTGGCTCTGCGCTCTTGGGGCGCGGACGCACAACAGGCGGTGACGAGTGCAATTTGGCTGGGAAGCTCTGCGTGGTGTGCGAGCTGCCCACCGTGTGGCCTGGCAGCGGCGGAGGCGACGCCTGTGTCGGGGATGGCGTGTGCGCCAGTGGTGACAGAGGGATGTTGCCGGCCGATTTACAGCGTGCAGAGCGGTACTGCCGGTGTAGCTTCGGTGACAGCCCGTGCAGGGTGCTGGGCCGGATGTGGTGCGAAGCGGATGACGCGGGGGAGTTGGGCGTGCTGGAAGCTGGGGAGCTACTCTGTGAGGAGGCACCTGCAGGCCAGAGAAGGTGTAAGTGTTCTGAGCACCGCGGCACCTCAGTCCCCTACCCCGCGCAGGTACAGAACCTACCTAGGTAGGCAGAGTCAGGCGTGGAGCGATAGCTGTGCGTGGGTGAGCGTGCCGGTAGTCCGTGCGTGGGCGAGCCGGGAAGACTGTCGCTGGACGACAAGGACCGGTTCAGAGAGGACAGTGATCTGCTAGTATGCAGTAGGTTTGACTGTTTTGTGATCTTCCGAAAGAGGGAGCTGCGCTTCTTGCTGGGGAAGTAATAGCAAACAATCACCTCTCCTTAACTCCTGGACTCTGAGTTTGGCCGCTTCTGGACTGCACAACAGCCCAGTATTCAACTGACTACCCTTTTCTAGCATTCCCCTTTCTCTACAACCCATCTATCAAGGCAGAACTCTTGTCTCAATCCTGGGTGGTCGTGCCCTCTCTTTTCTGGCCACATGCAATCCAAGCCAGAAATCCCTTCCAAACAAACTTGACCCCTTCTGCCTCCCTACCCCCATCTAATCTTGTACCTTTTCACTGAACTCATTTACTGGATTAGTTTGCTTCCTTCACTCAAATCCTCACTGGGGTCCTGACCAACCCCCCCCCCCCCGATCTTCGGGTCATTATGTACCTCTGGCTGTCTAGAAACTCACTATGTAGATCAGGCTCCTTCCACCTCTCCAGAGCTGGCATGAAAGGCATGCGCCACTATGGCCAGCTGTCAAAATAGTCTCTTTGGAGCTGGAGAGATGGCTCAGCAGTTAAGCATAGTGACTATTCTTCCAGAGGACTTGGGTTAGATTCCCAGCACCCACATGGCATCTAAAAACCACCTGTAACTCTAGTTCCAGGGAATCTGGTGCCCTCTTCTGGCCTCCTTTGGCATCAAGTAACATGTGGTACACATAAACAGAAGCAATCAAAATGCTAATACAAGTAAAAAGAATCTAAGATAAAACAAAACTGTTCTCTTGGGGCTGGAGCGATGGTTCAGTGGTTAAGAAGAAGACTGCCCCTCAGAGAACCTGAGCAATTCTGTCAGACAGCTAGCTCATAATGCTTGTAACTCCATCTTCCAGGGGAATCCAACCCATGGCCTCTTCTGGCCTACACAGGCATCTGCATTTATATTCATAGACACAAACCTATGCATAATTAAAATAAAATATTTTAAAATCTTAAATAAATAAAATTTTCTGTTGGATCTGGGGAGGTGGCTCCATGATATGAAGACCACAATCCATGGGATGAGCACATGTGAACGGACAAGACTCCTGGCCCCACCCTTTCCCTCAGCTCTTCCAGTGTATGAGAGAAGAAATTACAGTAATATCCCATAATATAACCACATTTCCAAATATCCACACCATGTTAGTCCTATCTGATGATAGGGCCTTGTGACCTCATAGGTGATTTGTGTAAATTCACTCTGATACTCACCGAAGGAACTCCAGTAAATAAGGATGCATTTGTAGTAACATTCCTCCATCACTAATATCTGATTGTGTTTATTTTCTTTTTTCCCTTATTATATGGGCCCACACTGGATTTTTTTTTCTTTTTTTTTTTTTTTGAGACAGAGTTTCTCTGTAGCTTTTGGAGACTGTCCTGGAACTCACTCTGTAGACCAGGCTGGCCTTGAACCCACAGAGATCTGCCAGTCTCTATCTCTTGAATACTGGCATTAGAAGTGTGCACCACCACTGCCCGGCCCACACTGGCCTTTAACATCCAGAGATCCTCTTGCCTCAGCCTCCCAGGAGCTGAAATTACAAGGTGCCTCTATCGGATGGCCTGCTTAACTGTATTCTAGGTGACTGGGTCTTTTGTTTGTTTGTTTGAGACAGGATTTCTCTGTGTGACAGCTCTAGCTGTCCTGGAACTAGTGTTTTGCTTTTTGAGACAGCATCTCTCTACATAGCCCTGGCTGTCCTGGAACTCAAGAGATCTGCCCTCCTCTGCCACCACACTGTCTTCCAACCTTGGGGATTAAGGACTGCTGGAATCACACACCACCTTGCCCAACCAGTCTTAATCTTTTATCCCAGCTCCTCTCAAGAATTGTTGAAGGCCCACCAGATGTTGGTGGCTCATGCCTTTAATCCCAGCACTCAGGAGGCAGAGACAGGCCGATCTCTGTGAGTTCAAGTCTAGCCTGGTCTACAGAGCTAGTTCCAGGACAGGCTCCAAAGCAATACAGAGAAATCCTGCTAACCTGCGCAAGTGCTAACTCACAGTGCTTTTATTTTAAACAGTTTCCTTCCCAGGCTCCCCCAGTTTCCCAGCCTGGTTTGCTTCCCCTCCTAACTACTCACTGCAGTTTCCCTTCTGCCCCTCACAACTCTGGCTTTAATCCTCCCATGGTTAGGAAGATAAACTACTTATGGTCTCACTCACCTTTCTTGGCCATCTTTAGCTGAAGGCCTCTTGTTCCTACGAGCCATTTTGGCCTTGTAGCTGCTGCGCCTGGCTGGCCCAATGCGGATAGAGGTGTTTTCGAAGGGTGTGGTGGTCACAGCTACTTTGTTGCCACTCTGGGAGAGGGGAGGGAATCCCATTTGTTAGAGGCTGCTCTGTCCTGTCCCCCCTAAGCCCATCCAGGCCCCTTCCTTACACTTACCTTCAGGATCAACTCCACCACCTCAGGATGTACCATACCATGCACCGGCTCACCGTTCACATGGGTAATGAGGTCCCCAGCACAGAGCCCTGCCTCTTGGGCTGGGCCTCCCTCCTCCACGTGCTGTAAATGGGAAAACCCACAAAGGCATGATTGAGGGATCTAAAAGAACTTTGGCTCTTATGAAATAGTCATTAATCTCCCCACTGCATAGAAGAAGACTGGGGTTAGAATTAGGCGAAAGAAGTCTCACCTAGACTACCTATACTACCTTTCACACTAAGCATCACCCCCCCATTCCTCAGCCCATGGGACTCACCCAAACAATATGGTGGACACTGTAGACATCGGAGTCCCCCATGTAGACACGGATGGCACGCAGTGTGAACCCATATTTTTTGCCTGAGCGTTGGATGGTGATGGGGGAACGGAGTCCACTGACAGCTGGGGAGTAGTCCCGGCTAGGTGAAGAGTCCCGTGAGGATGGATTGGAGGAGAGAGACCGAGGGGACATGGGACTAGCAAGGGGTGAGCCTCCATGTGGATCCACTGCAGACACAAAACTGTGGTCAGAGATCAAGACAAACCTCATGCTGTTATCCCAGTATCTGTTGGTCACTCCATCCAAGTCAAAGCCCCATAGCAAGCTCTTCATTACTCCATCCTGACAGCAAATAGCATAGACAGGGGAAATGCACCTGTCCCACAACTGCAGGGAGCCCCTTCCCTGGTGGGTGGGGCCCAGCTTCACCTGCAGGAATCATCACTGACAAGGCAGTAGCTGAAGCTGACTTGATAACTTTGCCCCCAGTTCTAGATGGTCGCTTCTCCACAGCAAGATCCCCAGACAGCTGCTGGTGCCTTGCTCTTCGCAAAACCAGGTCATTGGTGGCCCTAGGGCCTGATGGGTCTCCA